GTAGTTTAGTAAGTATAGGGTTATTGGTAGTGTAGTAAGTATAGGGTTATTGGTAGGGTAGTACGTAGAGGGTTACTGGTAGTGTAGTTAGTGTAGGTTATTGGTGTCACGTTCGCTGTGTAAGTTTGTCATGTTTTGTGTATGTTTTGTGTATATGTGTGTACACATATGGTAGAGAATTCATTTTAGAAACAGATCACCAGCCACTCACGTATCTGCATCGTTCAAAGACACCAAACGCTCGACTCATGCGATGGGCTTTGCTACTTCAACCCTACAGATTCAAGATTCGGGCGATCAGAGGTGTGGACAATGTTGGTGCTGATTATCTCAGCAGGATTTAAACTTCCAAGCTACGTGATTGTTCAAAAAGTGCAAGCACTTTTTTCCGGAACGGGGGGATTATGTCACGTTCGCTTTGTAATGTTGTCATGTTTTGTGTATGTTTTGTGTATATGTGTGTCGCGACTAGGCCACCGTAGAGGAGACCGACGGGACGGTGAGTAGGGGTCAGCCATGTGCGACACCGAGAGAATGTGTTTTGGATAATTAATCCATTGTAACCGTCCGAAAGCCCATAAACGTGGGTAAGGCACAGAAACAGACTGTTTTAAGTACTATGCATAACTATATTTCCAATGTTTAACTATTATTTCGCCCATTGTACGATAAATATTATGGTCAGTTGTTCGGGTGGACGTGCGGATCACTGATGCGTGAAATTGTTGTTGTGTGTTTATAAAGTTGTTGAATGTATTTGTAGTGAAATATTCCTATATATGTTGGCTATAACTATCTTTGAGACTATTCTAATATGTATTTATATTGTATGTATCGTATATTCAAAGTAGGTAAATATAGGTATATTCATGTTTGCGTAGGAAAGTGTGAAAAAAGTATGGAAGCTCATGCGGACCATAACTATAGGTGTTGTTACACTTCTTGTAATTTTAGATTTTGCTACGTTATGGTAATTATCGATGTTGAAAGCAGATTATAAATGATAATTATTATGAGTAGAACTATACTTGGTTATGCTATTTGTATTTAATTACAATTATCTAAGGTTGTGTGTGTTAGTGACAAATGTATTTTGTTATAGTTACATGTAGGAATGTTAGGACTTACAACTGTCACCTTTATTTGGCAGCAAACCATGTCGGGATAGCAGGAACAAACCTCAGACCGAAGAAGCACTAGAAGTGTCTCTCATATATATTTTTGAAACTTGTGTGGACATTCGTCATATATATTTGGAATCCTGTGTGGAAGGTTGCTGTAGTACAACCGAGTCCTTCCTGGAGTGGTGACAGATACTGTAGTTACCTTGTGTAATTATTTCTAGTATTTTGTATGCGAGGAGTGTGTTAGAGAGTGAGCTTTGTAAATATCGTCATGATCGTATATTGTCATTATTGTGGTAATTGTACATTATATTTAATTAATTTTGAATATCGATGTTTGTTATTTGTGGTACGATTAATTCCGCTGTTCGTCCTGCGTTACAAAATTGGTGGCAGCGGTGGGATGAGCGACGTTTGGTTATTCGTACTTTGAATATGCTAGGCAATAGGATAGAGTTTGAGATATTTTTCGTGCTTGGGCATCCTGTTCCTTTTTCCCATTTCTATAAGTGTCAGTTTAATTCCGGGAAATGCATTGGTAAGTAAAGTCTATAGAATCAAGACAGGTGAAATGCATTGCTAAGTTAAACTTACAGGATCAAGACCGATAGAGCATCTGCAACAGATTGGTGAGTATTGAAACCTATTGTTGCGTCATTTTTGTCTGTAGTATAAGTGTTGTACTTTCCAGCGTTAGGTTTATTCATATCCGGAAACATGCCTTCCTTAGAGGAATTGGTTATTCTTGGGACAAAGATGCAATGCGAGGGCGACGCCTTACAACAATTTGTTAGTGACCAACAAGCTCGAGATAGAGATGAGCGGGAGCAGGAAAGGTCTTTTAGACAAGAGCAGGCCAAATTAGAAGCAGAGAAAGAAGACCAAGCAGAGCGCATGCGTGAGGAAGAACATCAACGTCAGTTGGAGCTTCTTCAAGCAGGAAATCGGGCAGCACCCGGAAATGGTCATCCTCAGGGGGACACATTGAAACGCGGACCGAAGTTACCGGCCTTTGATGAAGCTCATGATAATATGGACGCCTATATTCAGCGGTTCGAGAGGTATGCTGAGGCTCAGAAATGGCATCGTGACCATTGGGGCGCTAATTTGAGTGCACTTCTGAAGAGGAAAACGCTTGGAGTATTTTCGCGTTTACCTGTGGAGAAGGCATTGGACTTTGACGAGTTGAAAAAAGCTTTATTACTAAGGTTTGAGATGAAAGAGGAGGGCTTCAGAAAGTCTTTTAGAATGGCAAAACCGGAGGGAGCTGAGTCATTTACGCAGTTTGCAGTCCGACTTCAGCACTTCATAGAGAGATGGGTGGAAATTAGCCAGACAGAAAAGACGTACACCAAACTTCTCGACTTGATGCTCAGGGATCGGTTTGTTCATTGTTGTAGTCCTGATTTGGCATTGTTCCTGAAGGAGAGGATACCATCGGCAATAGGGGAGATGGTGAGATTGGCAGATCAATTCGTTGAAGCGCGTGGGACTAAAGCTAGTCAGTCTGTTAACAAGGGACAGAAGCACCAACCGAGTAAAGCTCAAGGAACTGGAACAGCTGATGCATATCGACAACCTAACCAGTATTCATCGAAGGAACGGAAGTGCTATAACTGCGGAAAGCCGGGACATTTGTCATCAGAATGTCGCGCTAAGAAGAATGGTAGTGGAGGCAAGGTTGCAGTCATAACTGAGAAAGTGGGTCGTCAGAAAAGGAAAGAACATAAACCAACTCCAAAAGAGTAACTCTCAGTGTATCCGTGTCTACTGGTATGCCAATTGAAGAAGGATGTGTTGGTGACAACCGGATGCAGTGGTGTTGTAGTAAGAAAGTGCTTTGTGAACAAGGACTGGTACACTGATAGGGTGCAGGTTTGTACACTCGCTGATGGTTATTGTGGACGTTGACACACCGTACTATAAAGGCCAGACTGAAGCTTGGGTATTGGAAGCGCCGCTGTATGATGTTATCATAGGAAATGTCAGAGGAGCTCTATCACCTGATCAACCGGACAAGGATTGGAGGGAAAGGGAACCAGCTGTTCACGCGGTAGAAACTCGAGCTCAAGTGAAGAAGAAAGGACAACCTTATAAGCCACTTAAAGTACCCGAGGGTATCCAAGATGTTGGAAGTGCAGAAGATTTTAAGGAGGCACAGCAGAAAGACAAGACACTTGATACATTCCGGAAGTTAGCTTCTGAGGAAGAGGTTCACGAACGTGATAATGGAGGGTCCAATAAAATTTATTACCAGAAAGGTCTTATGTACAGGAAATTCCAGAGTCCCAGAGTGATGAATGGGAAACTGTTCAGACAGTTGGTGGTTCCTGAGAAGCACCGTGAGAGAGTGATTAAACTGTCACATGACTCAATCATGTCAGGACATTTGGCAGCTAAACGGACAGCGAGCAGAGTTCTTTCAGAATTCTTCTGGCCGGGTGTACAGGCGGATGTAGTGCGTTTCTGCAGATCATGCGATATATGTCAGAGGACATTTCCAAAAGGAAGAATCCCAAAGGCTCCACTTGGCGATATGCCACTGATCGACGTGCCATTTAGGAGGGTGGCTGTGGATTTAATTGGACCACTTCAATCTGCGACGGATCGTGGGAATCGCTTTATTCTGACAGTCTTTGACTACGCTACCAGGTATCCAGAGGCAGTTGCATTGAGAGGTATAGAGACAGAACGAGTTGCAGAAGCACTAGTCGACATCTTCAGTAGAGTCGGAATTCCCTAAGAGATGCTCAGTGATCAAGGAGCCCAATTCACTTCAGGCATGATGAGAGAGGTTGGCAGATTACTGTCTATTAAGCAGCAGACCACGACGCCTTACCATCCTATGTGCAATGGCATTGTGGAAAGATTTAATGGTACCTTAAAACAGATGCTTCGGAAGATGAGTGTTGAGAGGCCTAAAGATTGGGAAAGGTTTATCAATCCCCTGCTGTTTGCGTATCGGGAGGTTCCTCAAGAATCATAAGGATTTTCACCATTTGAGATGTTATATGGATGTGCAGTCCAAGGACCGATGATGATTCTTCGTGAGTTGTTGACGAAGGACATACAGGATGAGGAGGTGAAGACGACGTATGCCTACGTAATGGACCTCAAGGAGATAATGGAAGAGACATGTAAGGTAGCGACATATAACCTCAGAATGGCAAAGGCAAAACAGAAGAGACACTTCAACCGACGAGCAAAGCAACGAGACTTGAAAGTAGACGACAAGGTGTTGGTTCTCTTGCCGACAAAAGCGAACAAACTGCTGATGCAGTGGAAGGGGCCATACAGAGTTGTTAAGAAGGTAGGACCAACTTACTACCATGTCGACAGAGATGGCAAGATCAAAACTCTTCACATGAACCTTCTGAAGAAGTATGAAGAAAGGAAAGAGGCTGGGAGTCAGCAAGATATTGCGATGGGAGGTGCATTATCTTGTGTGATGGCGATGGTCATTGAGGAAGAGGAAACGGAGGAGCAAGATTTAGGAGGTGTTCTAGAGACGATTCCATCTGCACTAGGATCTGAGAGTGTACAAGATGTTGAGATTGCACCGGATCTGACGACAGAACAGCACAGTATGGTGGAGGGGCTACTATCCGAGTACAAAGATGTTTTGACAGACATGCCAGGGAAGACGGTTCTTGCATGATATCATCACTACAACTGCAGAAGAAGGATGGTACAAATCGCTTTTGCATTGACTTTCGGAGGCTGAACCGAATTACCGTATTTGATGCGGAACCGATGCCAAAAACGGAAGAATCCTTTTCAAGGTTTGGAGTGGCAAGGTATTTCTCCAAGATCGACATTAGTAAAGGTTAACGGCAAGTGCCTTTGTCAGGCCAGGCAAAACATATGACAGCATTTGCAACACCCCAAGGCTTATTTCATTTCAAGGTGATGCCATTTGGCCTTGTAAATGCACCGGCAACTTTCAGTCGAATGAGGCGGAAGCTGTTAGCAGGGATGGACAACATTTATAATTTTATTGACGACATTCTCATATACACAGCAAGACTCACGGCAAGACCGAGTAAGTGTTCTTTGGGATACGGAAGTCTGTCATGTCTAGGTCATGTTGTTGGATGTGGACGACTTGAGTTAGAGCAGTCAAAGGTGAAGGCAATGCAGGAAGCTCCTAGACCTACAACGAAGAAACAGGTTCGTTCGTTCTTGGGACTAGCTGGCTTTTACCGGAAATTTATTCCGCACTTTGCTGCGATAAGTGTACCACTAACGGACCTTACGAAGAAAGGTAACCCAACCCTCCATGATAAGGAAGAAAATTTGATAAATGGGAATAGGACAATACTGAAAACACCTATTTGGCATAATACATTTTTAACAATAGAAAAAAGAACTTATTTTATAAAGAATAGTATAAGAAGGGAGGAATTATTATCAATGATATAATAAAAGACCCGAAAACAAGTACTTTTTATAATTATGAGGAATTTATGGAGAAATATGTCCTAAGAACTAATTTCCTTACCTTTGAAGGAATAGTTACAACAGTAAGGAAATATCTGAGGCATAAGGAAATAGTTAATGATGTTGTTAGTTATCCTTTTATTCCACTTAATCTTGAAATTTTCTTTAAAAATATTAAAGGGTCAAAGGACTTCTACAAAATACTCTGCAAAAATAATATCACAGCAACAGGTAAAATAAAGTGGAATGAACTATTTAATCTAGATGATGAAACATGGAATTGTATATATAAAACACCCTTTCAAGTTTCGAAAAATTCTAAGTTACACTGGTTACAATACAGAATAAATCATCACATTTTAACAACCAATTCGCATATATTTAAGATAGGATTAGTAGAAACTCCATACTGCTTTTTTTGTAAAACAGAAATAGAAACAATAGTTCATATGCTATGGGAGTGTGAAAAAGTACAGTCATTCTTTCAGAACTTTGAATTTTTATTAGACGCATTATTTATTCCATTTACTTTTAATAAGGAAACTTTCATTTTTGGCATGCATAACTATAAAAGTACTTACTATACAACTGATACTATTATACCTTATACTACTAATAATGAAACAGTATATCTATAGATCACGATGCTTGCAACAAACTCTATCAATTTATGCTTTAAAAAAATGCTATCATAGATCACTACAGATTTCAAAAATATATTTCTATAGGAAAAGGAGTGGATACTGCTTTAAAAATGGAAAATTCTTGGAAGAAATTATTAGAAATCACTCCCAATCCCTGACAAACCCAAAAAGGATAGCATACATGTGTATATTTTACCTCTGATAGTTAAATTTTTATTAAAAGAGAAAAATTTAACACCCTGCCACTTTACTGAAGAAATTAAAATTATTATTATGTTTCAGGTTGAATTAATAGTTGCACTAATAAATGGACACATATGGACTCAACATCTTTACCACTTTGACCCCTTGTTGCCTTCTTAGCCCCCCCTATCGATTTCTGTAAAAGCTCTTTTGCTCCTTCCCTCACTTACAAAATTTGTATTAAATGTTGGTTGAAGAATGAAAATGAGTGTGAAAATTAATACTGTAATTATTCTGTAATGCTGAAAATGTTTCAAAACAAAAATTAATGAAAAAAAGAAGAAAGGTAACCCCAATACAGTCATATGGGAGAACAGTCATGAGATCGCTTTCAACACATTGAAGAACCTGCTTGTGGCAGAACCAGTCTTGAAACAGAACCAGTCTTGAAACTTGCAGAAATAAACAAAGACTTTCTCCTTCGGACTGACGCATCAGACCAAGGTCTGGGCGCAGTGTTATTGCAAAAAGAGGGAGGACAAAAAATTCCGATTGCGTATGCAAGCAGGAAATTGCTAGCCAGAGAAAAAAAACTATGCCATCGTTGAAAAGGAATGCATGGCTATCGTCTGGGTGAACCTTACACATATGGTAGAGAATTCATTTTAGAAACAGATCACCAGCCACTCACGTATCTGCATCGTTCAAAGACACCAAACGCTCGACTCATGCGATGGGCTTTGCTACTTCAACCCTACAGATTCAAGATTCGGGCGATCAGAGGTGTGGACAATGTTGGTGCTGATTATCTCAGCAGGATTTAAACTTCCAAGCTACGTGATTGTTCAAAAAGTGCAAGCACTTTTTTCCGGAACGGGGGGATTATGTCACGTTCGCTTTGTTATGTTGTCATGTTTTGTGTATGTTTTGTGTATATGTGTGTCGCGACTGGGCCACCGTAGAGGAGACCGACGGGACGGTGAGTAGGGGTCAGCCATGTGCGACACCGAGAGAATGTGTTTTGGATAATTAATCCATTGTAACCGTCCGAAAGCCCATAAACGTGGGTAATAAGGCACAGAAACAGACTGTGGTAAGTACTGTGCATAACTATATTTCCAATTTTTAACTATTATTACGCCCATTGCACGATAATATTATGGTCAGTTGTTCGGGTGGACGTGCGGATCACTGATGCGTGAAATTGTTGTTGTGTGTTTATAAAGATGTTGAATGTGTTCGTATTGAACTATTCCTATATATGTTGGCTATAACTATATTTGAGACTATTCTAATATGTATTTGTGACGTTTACAGGGGTTCGTATCAGTCACTTCCACTGAAGATCCTGATTGTCTATACTACATGTAGATGTTATTTGAGCTTCTCAGTGCAAATATATACAGATGAAGTAACTTGCATAATTGGGTACATTTTCTAATGAATTAATCAATATAACTGCTGTCTAAAAGCACTCAGTCC